GAAGAAGAAGAAGAAGAAGAAGAAGAAGAAGAAGAAGAAGAAGAAGAGGAGGAGGAGGAAGAGGAAGAAGAAGAAGAAATAAACGTTTCTGGAGCAAAATTTCTACTGGCCACATATGAAATAGAGACATCTTAGTTCACAGCTGCATGACCGTTGTAGGAATGAAGAAAGGTGATGTGTGTGGAAAGATAGTAAATCATGAAGCACTCCACCAGTTCCCATGAGGAGCTGGCTCTCCTGGCTACAGAGAAGTGCAGGTCCCAGGTTCTCTTACTTATGGGTAGCTGGGAGTGGAAAGTTTCCACAGTGAGGCTGGCTTCCCCAGGCCTCTGCATGGGGTTTTCCAGGGCCTGTTGCATCCATGGGCTTGCCAGAACAGGATGTTGACAGTTAGGGCTGCTTCCTCTGTGGGATGGAGAAGGGTGTTGCCTCTAAACGCTGATGCTGCAGGTTTTGCTTAGTTTAGTATGGAAGAGAGAGAGTTTCAAACACACCTTGGAAATTTTCTGATGGGATTCTGTGTCCACACTCTGTTATGCCTCAGCTATCTGCAAATAGTGCTGGAAAATGATTTATTATTCCTGCAGTAGTAACTCATTCACAGAGAATTGGGACCACCTGAGCAGGGAGGACCTTAGCCTGAATGGGAAGGACCTTAGCCTGAATGGGGAGGACCTTAGCCTGAATGGGGAGGACCTTAGCCTGAATTGGGAGGATCTTAGCCTGAATGGGGAGGACCTTAGCCTGAATTGGGAGGATCTTAGCCTGAGTCTAGTCCCACGCTGGCCAGTAGAAATCTAATGTGGCCACAATGGGACCATATGTGTTATTTCAATTGTTTTAAGTGGCCACATTATAAAAAGTAAAAAAAAGAGATGAGATGAAATAAATTCTTATGATATATTTTAATGTACTTGATGTATAAAAATAGTATCATTATAACAAATAATCGATATAAAATATAAATAATATAAAATGCAATATATTAATATTCATGGGTTACTTTATATTCTTTTTTGTTCTTTATTTAATGTTTGAAATCCAGTGTACATTTATACTTAAAGCACATCTCAATTTGCACTAGTCACATGGTTAATGACTACATGTGGCTTCTGGATTACACATCGCAGATCTACACCAGCGGCTGGATGCCCCATTTCGGGGACATGTAGCAATGTCTGCAGGCATTTTTGATTCTCACAACTGTAGGAGAGTAGAGGCCACAGATGTTGCTAAACATCCTACAAATGCACAGGACAATCCCCGCAACAAAGAATCTTCTGTCTCAGGATATCAGTAGTTCCAAGTTTGAGAAATCCTGATCTAGACTAAGGTCTGCCCCTACCCCTTGCCCTTTTGTATTTCCCCACGGTGATGGGTATGAGGCACAAGAGCCTATTGGTAGCGGGTCCGGTGTTGGCACTCAGGTGTCCTGAGTGGGGCCCCGGGGCAGCTCTGCTCGCCCACACCTCCTCTAGGCTTGTGGCTGTAGCAGGTGTTCTCAATCCTTCCTCCAGCAAAGCTCAGCAGAGGAACATAAGTGACAGGACCCAAGCCACAAGCAAGAAACCACACCCCCCACAAAGTTCCTTAGCACAGAAGTTCCTTTTGTGTTACATGAAAATTTAGGGAAAATTCACCCACTCGTCAGAACCTGAAGACTGGCCCAAGAGACAAAGGACACGCTGAACCCAGCAAGAATTCCACGGCTGACACTGGGCCAGCTCTGAAAGTGGACCTTCGAAGCATGGAGGTCAGAAGAGGAGCATCTTCTGATGAGATTGGGTTTCTTACCCAACAACAAGAGGACCAGGAACAGTTTTTTAAATTTAAATTTAAATTGTAATATTTTTTTGAGAGGAAGTTTTGCTCTGTCTCCCAGGCTGGAGTGCAGTGGCGCGATCTTGGCTCACTGCAACCTCCGCCTCCTGGGTTCAAGTGATTCTCTTGCCTCAGCCTCCCAAGTAGCTGGGATTACAGATGCCTGCCGCCACCATGCCCAGCTAATTTTTTGTATTTTAGTAGAGATGGGGTTTCATCATGTTGGTCAGGCTGGTCTCAAACTCCTGATCTCATATGATCCGCCCTCCTTGGCCTCCCAAAGTGCTGGGATTACAGGCATGAGTCACTGCACCCGGCAGAAACAGTTTTCTGAATGTCCATTTGAATGTTTATTCTCATCAGTCAATGAAAAGTACATTGCCGTGACTAGAAGTCACAGCTTAGAATACAATGACCAACCGTGTTTCCTTGGCTCCCGAGGAGCCCTTTTCGTCTACAGTAGGTATGTAGATTTGGAACTTGAAATTTTTGTAGAAACTCGCAGAATGAGTGATTGAATGAATGAATGAATCTTACAGAACAGATATAAACTAGTCTTTTTTCTTCGCTTCAGGGTTAAATCACGAGGTTAGTTTTTAAAGTTCTATTTTAAAATCTTTATTGATATGTAACAGTTGTACATATTTTGGAGGTATATATGGTATTTTGATGCCTCTATACAATATGCAATGATCAAAGCAGCGTAATTGGGATATCCATCATCTCAAACATTTATTTTTCCTTTGTGTTGAGAACATTGCAATTCTTCTCTTCTAGCTACCTTGAAATATACAATAAATTGCATAAATCACCTCGTTATTTCACAGTTGCCCTTCCCTGACCCTTGGCCTGCCTCTTTGCTGTTCTCGCCTCCAGCCCCCTTCTGCATTCTTGCGTTTGTTTGTGAATGGCTTGACTCCAGGATGGAAGTGTTGCACTCTGAGAGCTCCCTGGAAGCCTTCCACCCCAGCCATGGGCCTGGTCTTGGGGGTCCCTAGAATACATTTATTTTCTCTGTGTCTTGCGCCCCAGGGGAACTTTAGACCTCACTTCTGGAATCTATGACCTTTGGGATCTCCTGGAGCCTGTCCACTCACCATGGAAAGAGAGGTCCTTTGCACATTTCTGAAGGACTAGGAAGCCTTCAGCCCATCCCAAACAGACTCCATACTCATGGCATAAAGTGGTTATGCTTGCTGGTTGGCAAAGCATGGGCCACCGCATATCCAATCCATGTGTGTTTTATCTGGGACTACTGCTCAGTTTTGCCCCCCTTAGGCATTTCACTGCTCATTCACTCAACAGAGGTTGAGTGAGCAGAATTCAAACTACCTGCATTCATTTTGTCATCAGCATGTGTTAAAGACAGAGTTGCGGCTGTTGGAGAATGAGGTTCAGGAGAAGCCCTCTGGCTCTAGTGCATGGCTCCTACCCTAGCCCTGTCTGTGTCACCATGGGCTGACTGCTGGAATCCTGGCCTTTAAAGATGAACAGTTGTCAAAGGCCAAGTGACGCCTGGGAATTCCCAGTCCTCTGACCCATGGGTGCAGCCTGGCCTTCCTTCCTCTATGGTCCCTATTTTTTTCAGGCTATCAACAAGAGACTGAGAGTTCTGTGACTCCACTAGGTGTGCTGGGTGCTGTCTCACTGAGATCCAGAACAACAGTCCTGACTCTTAGAAGTGGAAATAAGGTGGCTTAAAGCTGAAAATGAGAGCCTTGTTCTGCAAAAGAGGAAGAGTGCCTTCCGTGTTACTTGGAGCCGGCTTAATCCACTTAATGCTTTTCAGCTTGGTCATACGGAGGGACTAGCCACAAGGTCATGGCTACAGTGCCAGCCCCCGGTCCCAGGCAGCTGCCCAGTGTGCTCATGCAGTTAGAATGTTCACAGAGTAGGACACTGGGCCAAGCACATGGACTACTCTGTCCACCGACCAAGCACAGATTAAGCCCTTTGTAGACAATGAGAGCTGTGCTTCTGAGGGAATTAAAGGATAGCTTTTGAAAACTATTTTTCTTTCCTCTTTCTCATCTCCTCATTATTTTATGTACTTGAAACAGTATACACAATGTCCTTTTTAAATGAGGTGAAGCCCAGAATCTAGGGATCTGTTTTGAAGTACAGTGGGGTTTGCCAGATCACTCATGAGGACTCTGCTTAATCTTGCCAGTCTCCTGGCTCTCATTAGCTAGAACATAGGCCTGCGTGTGGAAGGGACCCCCAGCATCTCTGCAGCAGCTGGAGAGGGCCGTGAAGTGAGAGGCAGATGGAGCTTCCCTGCTGCTGTGCAGCTGTTTGCTCACCACTTCCCCTTGCAGGCAGCTCCCTGCGGCTGGACTAGGGATGTGCTGCTACACAACATGGCCTTGTGCTGCGGACGGATGCTAGGAGCCACCTGGCCTGTAATGCAAGTGCTATGATTAACAGGAGCAAGTGTTTCACTTTGCATTCAGGCCCCAGGTTTTTTTGTTTTGTTTTTGAGACGGCGTCAGGCTGGAGTGCAGTGGTGCAATCACGGCTCACTGTAGCCCCGGCCTCCTGGACTCAAGCGACCCTCCCACCTTAGCCTCCTGAGTAACTGAGACTACAGCCACCATACCCAGCTAATTAATTTTAATTTTAATTTTTAGTAGAGATGGGGTCTTGCTGTGTTGGCCAGGCTGGCAGGTCCCAGTTTTGCAGTTGTATTTGCTGACCTGGCACATCGCTTTTGCTGAATCTTAATGAAAACATTCTTGGACAGGGATGAGTCACAGATGCTTTCATGAAACCCATTTCAGAGCACTGTTGGCCCAGGGCCTCCGTGGATGCAGCACTCTTCCCATGGGTGCACAATGGTCATTTACTCCTGGAAAAGGACCTGAGGAAGTAAATGTAGAAGGAATGTCACATCTCACTTTTTCTGCTCCATCTCTGGCTCTGGTGCTTTTGTTCTTATTTTAAGAGACAATACCACATTCTGCTGGAGAGGAGGTTCCTTGGGGAGTCATTTTCAAGGGGAGGATATGAGGACACTGGCACAAGGAAAACCTGTTCTAACTGCATTAGTTTTTCTAGACTCTTCTATTGTGGATTAAAAAGTTGGAAATGCAGAAACTCTTGGGAAGACAGGCCATGTGCTTTCACGGTACACAAATGGATCTTAAAACCATCCACCCCCCAGCTCATCTGCGTTGGAGAACCGTGAAGCCAAACAGCACTAGAAAAAGCGTCCTATGCAGCCACTCCGCCTGATGCTGCAGCTGCCAGCGACCCCTCTTTGGAAGGGCGGCTGCTGAGCGCTGGCACTTGCTGAAGTTACTGAGAGCCATTACTGTTTGCTTTTGCATGCCTCGTAGCACCTCCCAAAAAGAAAGTACTCAGGCGCTGCGTTTGGCCTCTCCTCCTTCCCTGGCCACTTCCAGGCCTCTGCTGTGCGTGTTCTCTTACTTCCCTCTAGAACTGGGCTGGCGCTGGTTTGGGCAGCACAGGAAGTGTGTGGCACCCAGATGCGTAAGCACCAAACGGAAAGAGGAGGCTGGATGGCGGAGGTGTCCCCTCTGCCATCCTGCCCTGCTGCCTTTGTCTCCCCGGCCTCTCTTCTGGGCACTTAGCACATTCTGCAGCAGATATCCACACACAAGGCTAAGTTCAGGTCCTCAGGGCACAGACTGGTAGGGTAGGTGCAGTAAGGCTGAAGTCCTGGACACAGCAGCCTCCCCGAGGCTCTCCCCAGCTCCTGGCGGAGCCCATTCTCTGCTCTGTCCAGGGCTTGTCGAGGGCGTCTCCCGACTTCTTTGGGAAAGCAGTTTGTTTGCCTTTCTCTTTCAACACTCGCCCATTTATCACAAACCCACAAGGGTTTAGACAGCCACGCAGCTCCTGCCTGGTTAGGACACATGGGGAATGGAAGAATTATGACTTCAGTGCCCCCAAGAGGTGATGCAAGTTGAAAACATAATCGGATGCAAAAAAAGGTCTAGATTGATTCATACGTGCTAGTGCCTGAACATTTTCAGAGGGACCCAGGAATTCCTTCCATCCAAGCCTCTGCTGTGTGCAGAGGGAACAGTAAGGCGGCAGCAGGTCGTTCACTGCTCATTCACTCAATAGAGGTTGAGCAAGCAGAATTCCAACCAGCTACATTCATTTCGTCATCAGGGACCTCACAGTCCAGGAAGGAGGCAAGCTGCCTGCCCATGCATCTGGCAGGAGGGGTACCCTGCTGGAGGCTGGGCACCCAGAATGAAGCAGGCCCTTCCATGCACCCTGCTCCCAGGCCTTTCTTCGCAGAGGCTGAACACAGAGGTGCATGAATCAGATTCCAGTCTTGAACAGTAATATGTGTGCTCACCAAACAACTCCTGTGGGGCTGAGCCTGCGTGGATCAACAGGGCGAAGATTTGTGGGGAAATCTTCCCTCACTCACCTGTCTCTCACATTCTGTGCCTCCTGGAGACCGTTCAGAATCTCTCTCTCTTACAGCCAAGCCTCCTGCTGTGTGGCTCTCTCATTCTCCCTCCCCTTTGTCAACCTCAAACCACATTTCCCCTGTCTCCCTCAGCCCCGTAGACATTTTCTTTACTTCTCCTTCCTTTTTTCAGTAGGTCTCAGTTCCCTTGCAAGTTCTTTCCCACCCCTCCCCCATCAGCTCATGGAAGCCTGGAGTGGAGCACAGCAAACCATGGGGCCTCTTTTGGGACCCCGTGACAGTGCAGGGCTGCACCTGAGCCCTGTGCCTCTGGAAGACGGCCAAAGGCAATTGCCCACACTTGTATGTCAGATGTCTCCCATCCTTTTGTGTTCCAGGAAATGACTTACTGCAAAGAATTACTCTTTCCCACGAGAATTCGAGAAGACCCACTGTCACGGACTGAGTTGTGTCCTCCTAAAATGCAGATGTTGGAGTCCTAACCCCCAGTAACTCAGAGTGTGACCGTATTTGGAGAGGTCTTTAAAGAGGTGATGAAGGTAAAATGAAGTCGCTAGGGTGGGCCCTAATCCAACCTGACAGGTGTCCTCATAAGTAGAGGAGATGAGGACACAGACACACATGGAGGAAAGACCATGTGGGGAAACAGGGAGAAGACGGCCGAGGAGAGAGGCCAGAGGAGAAACCAGCCCTGTCCATGTGTTGACCTGGGATTTCCAGCCTCCAGCATGGTGAGACGATGCATCTCTGTGGTTAAGTCCCCACTCTGCAATACTTTGTTATGGCAGCCCTACTAGCAGACCTGTAGGTCCGTTCATAAACACTGTATACTTGTTCTTGCGATTTCCATAACAGTCATGGGTGATCCCCTTGTTTCCTGTGATAAGGACACACAGAGACCCTCCAAATTACCATTCTTTGTTTCTTAAATGATTAGCTGAACTATTTGTTCCTCCAAACAAGCTAGAAACAGAGCTAGATATTCCAGCTGATTGACAGATGCCTCCTGATGACATAAACATCCCAACTGTAAAATCACCCCCACTTGGAACTGGTTCACCCTCCCTATGAAAGTCTAGACAAAACCAGCTGCCAGGACAGACTGGAAACCCATCTGGAGCCCCGTCTTCTCCACCCAGGGAGTGAGACCCCTTGAGCTCGTCAAGCTCCTTCTGTGACTGATCGGAGATCCCACTGTGAGTCCAGCTCCTGGTCCCGTGCTCCGGATATCGGTCCTTGGCAGCGTGGTAAGGATTTGATTTTGATATTTGCTTGAGTGCTCTTTGGGCTTTGTTTTGTAGTTGGTTTCTGTTTAACCTTCGTACTATGGAAAATTCTCAATCCACTTCTCCCCCGCCTCCTTTAAAAATCCCTTCCGATGATATGTATTCCACTGTGATGAAAATTCAGTTCATTATCCCCCCAAAATGGCAAGATTTCCCTGCGGACAAGTCGGAACTGCAGTGACCCCTCTGAGGCACCTGGAATCTCCCTAATCGTGTCCATCTATAGCCCCCCTGAAGATCTCGTCTCTTCAAAGGTCAGCTTATTTTGCTTGGTACGAGGACGCTGAAACATGAGAAACTGTCTCCAATCTACTTCAAACTGAGCAGTCCCTTAAGCACATCTCTCTTACTACCAACCTCTCCTCCCACTCCTTCTCCACCCTTAATGAAACCTCTCAACACTTCTTCCCCCCACCCCTCTGTGGGCCCTGCCCTGATGCTTTCCCCCTCCACCCAATATTCCTCCTTAGTCTGAGGGACTTCTTTTTTCCTCCTTTAACCCCTGCTCCCCAATCTTCCCTGCTCCCACTTCCCTACCTCATCCTGATTTGTTGGTGCTTCCCCAGTATGATGGAAGGCCCATGACCTGAGGGCCCAACTGAATAAGGACTCACTCAGGTCCATATGCAATTGTTAAGGGCTTTTCAGACAGTGAGAATAGGGAAGAGTTTAGTAATCCATTCGGTCTGGTCCTTGGGGTATATTCTCCTTGGTTTCCTGAACCGTATCAATTTTTGCAGCTGTGAATGGGTAGCAGAGATGCCACTTTATGTTTTGAAAAAGCCAGATGGGTCACTCTTCATGAGGACTTTCAAAGAAATCAGAACACCCGGATGCAGGCCAAAACTATAGGGGAGAGACTTTAGAATCCATTCCCACTGCCTCTCCTCAAAAACTGGTCAAAGATAAAAGATGGCAGACAACACAGAGATGAATTTGCCTCTCGCTATAGACATAGATCAGAAAATGTTAGAAAGGATGACATTTTGAGAGAGTCAGTTGAGAGAGTTGCTAAAGCTTAACAAAATATATGATCTCATCTTATATTTGATGACTGAGCCACTTTTGCTTTTATTATTAATTGTGTTAATGGCTTCTGATCAGAAATCAGAGATATTACCCCAAAACACAACATAAGTAGGCAGAACGCTTCTCTCTCTGAAAGTGTACACTAGCCCAACATCCTGAAGACTCCATGAGGGAAGAGGCCAAATCAACACAGTGCAAACTGATGGCTGCACAACTTCACTGACCAGGAGGAAGCAAACCAGGCCAATCTGCTCATTCCAAACCCCAACTTGTTAGGCACACGTGCATATATAAATAAAAACAATGCTCAGCTTGGGATTGCCTGGCTTTAAAACACAAAAGAGAACAAGAGCTTAAAAATTCATCTTTTAATGACTTTCTTGGAGGGGTGTTCCCCTTTGTGTCCACACTAACTCATAAGAGGAGAGCATCTTCCACATCAATGGGCACTCCTCTCCCTTCCTAATGGACCCAGAGCAACACATCTCACCATGAACGCCTCTTGCCACTCTCCCTAAGAGCACACAAGTCATGCCTGTGGTGGGACTTGATGAGCATCCATGTGCTGCTTTTATCAGAACCTTATTCTGTCTTATTAGAACCCTCCCCACCCAGTACAGCTTCTTAGTTCCACTACTTAGTAAACCTCTGGAAAGACAGTTACTTTCCAACTGGACTGCCGGTAGTTTTGCTCCCTTGAAGGCCTCACCCTTAAGAGCCTTGGGTCCCAGCCTTGCTTCTTTGCCCTTTCATGGCTCTCATTGACCATCACACTTTTCTTGCTTCTGTCAAAATCTCTGATCCCCCTTTAAAACCTCAAGTACAAACTATGCTAACTAAAATACCCGACTGCCTTCGAGCTGGTCACTTCACTGACACAGGCCAAATCAAGGAGGCTGAACCTCTCAAAGTAGAAATAGAACCTTCCATGCCACTCTCAACATTACTGTAATTTCCTAAAGACAAGAATTCTCCAAGATCTTCAACTTATAATTCAAGGTGTCCTTCACAAAACACTCCTAGTCTCCATGTCTAATTCCTGTGATACTCCCATCCTCTCAGTAAAGAGGCTCAATGGGTACCAGCTAGTCCAAGGCTTGCAAGCAATTATTCAAATAGACAATGCCAGGCTTTCTCTAAGGACCCCAACACCATTCTGGCTTCTCTCCATGCCACACTATTCATCTCATAGTCATCAACTTATGTTCTTTTTTTTTTTTTTTTGGACGGAGTCTCACTCTGTTGCCCAGGCTGGAGTGCAGTGGTGTGATCTTGGCTAACTGCAACCTCCACCTCCCAGGTTCAAGCAACTTTCCTATCTCAGCCTCCTGAGTAGCTGGGATTGCAGGCACACACCACCATGCCTGGCTAGTTTTTTTGGTGTGTGTTTTCAGTAGAGATGGGGTTTCACCATGTTGGCCAGGCTGGTCTCGAACTCCTGACCTCAGGTGATCCACCCGCCTCAGCCTCCCAAAGTGCTGGGATTACAGGCATAAGTCACTGTGCCTGGCCATGTTCTGCTTTATCAGTATGCTTTTCAACCCTGACTCAAATATCCTTTTGCCTTCACCTGGAAAGGTCAATAATACACATGAACTTCCATGCCTCAGGGGTTTACTGAGGCCCCCACCTCTCTCTCCAGGACCCCTTTCAGGCTATTCTGGGCACTGGCTGTTGAGGAGAAATGCCTTGGATTCACAGTTTTCCAGTTTATTTGTCTATAAAGCCCTAATGTGAACAATCTTTTTCTTGATGAGTATTTTCAATGACAACCAAATAATTGAGTTTCCCCTAGATCAGTGATTCTTAACCAAGGGCGTCTTGCCCCTCAGGGGACAATCGGCAATTTCGAAAGGAGACACTTTTGGTTGTCACAAGTGGAAGGGAGGAGATGCTACCAGTGTCTCGTGAGTGGAGGCCAGGATGCTGCTACACATCCTGCAGTGCACAGGATGGTCCCCACATCAAAGAGTGATCCCACCAAAAATGTCAGCAATGTCAAGGCTTAGAAATGCTAATCAAGACAATGACCCTTTCCAATCTTATTTAATAAATAAAAAGAACTCAACCGGTTTGCTTTAGTGATGGAGGATGGTTCTCACAGCAGTGTCCTTCCTTTAAATTGTATGAGCTGTAGTGTAGAAATAGAAATGGAACAGTTATCTTTTTGTCTAGTTTTTGGACAAAAAATTGGTCCAGAGCACACCATGAAGGATGATTCTGGGAAATCAGATATTGCTGATGAAAGAGAACTTGGCTGGGGACAAGCTCTGGGTTCTAGCTCTGGTTCCAATGCTACCTTGTTGGGTGTGTGGGACTGTCACTCTCCTCCGGGGGTGGAACTAAAGCACCTTCAGAGTTTTGCCGCCTATAACAGAGTTTCTTCTAGAACAAGTCTATGCATGAGTCAGTTGAGAGAGTTGCTAAAGTTTAACAGAATATAAAGGAATAAGGAAGAAGAAACCACTCCACCTCTGCCCTTCCACTTCCGTCTGCAGGGTACATCCACTCATAGCACGGGCTCCCCGTGTGACCCACTTCCCTCTTCTGCATGGGCTTGGGGGAGGAGGACGCCTGGCATGCTGGAAGGCTGGCCAGGGGTGAGGTCCGTGCCTGGGGACTGGTGATGTGAGAATGGGCTGAGCAGAGAGGAATTCTGTGGCATCTGTTTTTAAAATGGAGTCCAGGGGTGAGCAGTGGCTTATGAATGTTCTCAAGAAAGAAATGGTGACTAGCCTCGGACATTTTGATGTTGCTCTTTGAAAACATCCATATTCTCTTTTGGGATGAATTATAGTTCACTTGTGATATTTCTTTTAAATATATTTTTTAATCTTTAAATTTATTTTAATTTTAATTTTTTTTTAAGAGATGATGCCTTGCTCTGTTGCCCAGATTGGAGTGCAGCGGCACCATTATAGCTCACTGCGGCCTCGAACTCCTGGGCTCAAGTGATCCTCCCACCACAATTTCCCAAATAGCTTGGGCTACACATGTGACTTACGATATTTCTTCTTATACAGGAAGCTGAATCTTTTTCTTTAACTTGCAGGAAGAAGTCTGTGGCATTTTTAAAATTTATTTTTGTCTTCACAAACAAGTAGAGTAAGTGATTTAAAAGTGTATACAAGTGAAATCTTTTTCCTAGGTTATCCATATTACATGGTAAGCAAGTTAAACGTATAAAAGGCTGTAGAGAGAAAAAAGGAGTCCTCCTCCCAGCTTGGGGGTGGGTGATCTTTGTTTTCTTATCACTATGGTCTTGGAGGGCATTGAAGAAGTTGGAGAGTTGATGCCATAGTGAAGCATGCACCAAACTGAGAAGGCTCAGGTCTGGGGACAGCATAGGAAAAGAAACAGAGTCTTCATGCAGAGGCTGCATGGGACGGCTGCCAGGAAGATGATATTCTGTTCTGGATGTACATTTCCAGGGCAATAAATGACTACACACACTTGAGGCAGCTGCCCTTCTGCTCTGTCGATGAAAGAAGAGGGGACAAAAATCAAGGGATGGGAACAAGGCAAGAAATTGAGGCTTTTGGAGTTATAGGCTGGAATTGTGCTGATTTTTCTTCTGAAATAGTTCACTAAGGTGTATCAGCTAACCACTTATGTCTTTCCTTCTGTGTCATCATTTTCTTTTCTTTCTTTCTTTTTTTTGTGAGATGGAGTTTTGCTCTTGTTGTCCAGGTTGGAGTGCAGTGGCGTGATCTTGGCTCACTGTGACCTCCCTCGCCTGAGTTCAAGTGATTCTCCTGCCTCAGCTCCTGAGTGGCTGGGATTACAGGCGTGCACCACCACGCCCAGCTAACTTTTGTATTTTTTGGTACAGACGGGGTTTCATCACGTTGGCCAGGCTGGTCTTGAACTCCTGACCTTAGGTGGTCTGCCCGCCTTGGCCTCCCAAAGTGCTGGGACTACAAGTATGGGCCACCATACCCAACCTATGTCATCATTTTCAGTGTAAGTAGTTGTCTAACATGGAGAAGTAACACGTGTTCAAAAGAATAGAGTAGGGTTGCTTGATCTCCTGTGTTTTCTTAGAGTCCTACTGTTTTCTTTCTGTGTTCAGAGCAAGTTCTGATTTGGACACAAAGTATGGCTTCTGGGGCTGTCTGTGCTGCCACGTACTTGATCGTGGGCTTACCATGCTTACTGTGCTGGCTTTGAGTCTCACTGATTCCCATGCATCGTGGGTCCTTGGAATTCTGTGCTCATGGGGATCCCCAACATGACCTGTGCGTGGGACAGCAGGGAAGGAGGACATGTGGCTGCATAGCTCCCCTCTGCTCACATGCATCTCTACTGTCCCACAGGACTTTACTCATAAAACACAAGTTCACAGGTAAGACTAAGAATGTTAAGATGGTGATGGTAGAGCACTAAGCCAAGTGTGGGTCCTTCTAGGCACAAGGCCCTGTGCAGTGTGACAGGTTGGCCACCATGAAGTGGACTCTGCCGATCTGGATGTGAAACCAGGAGGGCTGAGGGGTCTTGAAACATGAGATGAGCTGCCTGAGGCCAAAACCAATTCTCTGAGGATGGTAGAGCCAAGAGCTGGAAGGAATTTACGATAACAACGCTGAACCACTGGTTTTCATTTCCTTGGAACTTGCTGAACTTATTATCTGAGATTAGAATATCCTTCCTTTTAAAGGTGGTTTGAGCTGAGTGTCTGTTACTTGCAGGTGAAAGCTTTCTGATGTACACAGAGGACATCTTGTCCATAATGAGTGAAGGCCATACTACTTTACCTTTATTTTCCTTACCAGGCTCCCATTTCCGTAGCCTGGTTTTGACAAAGGTGGATACATAATTCTAGGGGCCACCTAGCTGGTTCTAATAAGACTCTGGAAGTCAAAAGCTAAAGAAGACCAGGAGACCAAGCTGGAAATCAGGCTCTTCAATCAGATTCCAGAGGAAATGCCACTCCACCCAATCACCTAGCCACAACAGTTCCCTTCCTTCAAGATGCTGCGTTGACATGCACTGCCTCTTTAGGCAAATGGATTACCTTGTAAGAGTGACCTGTGACCTGAAAAAGCATTAGCCCAGTCACACCCAGGCTTCACTGAGCCATTTGAGTCTCACTGCCTCTCTGTGTTAGTTCCTTTTGCTTTCAGCTAAAGGGTCCTTCTGTTTAGGTGGTGAAAAAAATGATCGTTAAAAACAATTAATAAACCCGGGGACCTCTGATACTATGAGCCCAGCCAGAGATCTGTGTCAAGCAAATCCTTGCAGACAGTTCTGCCAGCCTGCAGATGTCTGTTTGCCTCTCGTGGATTTGATAAGTGCTCATTTATGCCAAGGTGGCTGTAATCGTAGTACAGAGGCCTCTGGGAGATGTTGTTCACGCTGACCTTACAAACGGAAAACTACTATCTTTTCCTTACCTGAGACCCTGGGGAGTAGTCAGCTCACTCCCTGCCAATGGCCTAAGATGGTTGCTGATGTCACGGTTGAGGAATATCTAGGAGTAATAAACATAAGTAGCTGGAAAATGCCAATTCTGACAATTTGACAACATCATTATCAACATTCTTAAGTACTTACAAGTCTTTTCTTTTCTTTTCTTTTGGAGACAGAGTCTCACTCTGTTGCACAGACTGAAGTTCAGTGGCATGATCTCGGCTCACTACAAGCTTTACCTTCTGGGTTCAAGTGATTTTCCTGCCTCAGCCTCCTGAGTAGCTGGGATTACAGGCACACAGTATGGTGCCCGGCTAATTTTTATATTTTCAGTGGAGAAGGGGTTTCACCATGTTGGCCAAGCTGGTCTCGAACTCCTGACCTCAGGTGATCTGCCTGCCTCAGTCTCCCAAAGTGTTGGGATTACAGGTGTGAGCCACCGTGCCTGGCCATGCAATACTTAGAGTCACAGTAGTTTGTGGTTAGAGAATTCTCACAGAGGTGACCTGGTTCAGCCCTACCATCAAGGTCATTGAGACACTGGCACCTTGCCCAAGGTCATGCCAACCTGGGATTAGGCGTTTCCTGCCCGATGCCCTTTCCCCACTTCCCACACCTATTGTTCATACTAATTTATTGCAGGTCTTATTTCTATAGTCTCCTTTAATTGCTTTATGTTCACGGGATACTCTCTTCAGGATAAGATTGCAGGTATTTTTTTTTTTATATTACTTCCCCTTGTCCCTGATGCTGTAGGGTTTCAAGCTGAAACCAGTCAAAAAGGACTTTCTGCTGAGTGACTTTTGCCCAGGCAGCAGGGCTGAGGAGCTGGGGACGAAGGAGAGACCCTGGCTGTATTCTTCTGATATGTGTTACACATCAGGCTTGAGTTAATTTGGTCGGGTTCAATAATGCGCTGCAGTTACTCTGTAAATACCTGGAATCATGCAGGGTCAGGTCTGGAAGGAGATTTAAAGACAACGTGGTCTTATGGTTCTCTAACTGTGCTCCAAGGAACCCTAGGGGCTCCTGTGTGGGGGTCAGGAGGTGCCTTCTGTTCAACCTCTAAAAGCAGGTGGGCTGGAGAGCTGAGCTCACTTAGGCCTAGGCCTTGGCCCCTTTTCTTGAGATATTTTATTTAATAGTGTGGCTGTATCAGATTTCTTGTAAACAAAGGGCTTGGATGATAGAGCATTGTTGACAGCTATGAATCTAGTCCAGCTCTTTCATTTTCACTATGAGAAAATGAGGCTTGGAATGAGGGAAAAGGGACTGGATGACTGCGTGCAGAGCTGCACACCTAGCTAGTGACAGGAGCCAGGATGGAAACTCCTTGCAGATGTCCCCTCCATACCTTGCAGAGATGGCCTGGTCCCTCCAAGAAGCTGTGTTTTTGGCTTGATTGAGAGGTTGAAGTACAGAAACCAACTCTATGGTGGCTGCTCATCTGGGAAAAAAAAGGGACAAAATCTACACTTACTGAGTGACTACCGTGTTACTGACATGGAAAATACATTGACTCATTCAGAGCCGGTTTGTGGAGCACCTCCTGCATAGCAGATGCTGCCTTGCCTGTCATGGGTCCTCTTTCCTGTAAACCTCCCAACAAGTCTGCAGGGGAAGCTCTCACATGCTCCAGAGCTGAAGACTCTCAGGGTTACGCACCTCACTCACCAGTGGCTGTTCACCACATCTGAACTGACACCCTTTGAACTCCAAATCTGCTGTCCCACATCACATCCTAATATGCTTTTAATTTTTTTTTAAATGTCTCCAGAAGTCAGCGGCTGTCAATTGCATATGAGCTTTCCAAAGACTTGAAACTCAGTTTTAAAAAAAGAAATGTGAGTTTCTCTTTATCTGTTTGGAAAATGGCTGGGCGGGGAGTGGGCCCTTGGTGCCTGTTCTCCTGGGGAGATCGTCTTCGGTCAGCAGAGCTCCCTTAGAGTCCTAATCTGTTTCCTGATTTGGGCTTTCATGGCTGACACACATGCAGCTTTAGCCTTGTCTCCTGCTCACGGGGAAAATTCTGCTCCTCTTGCTGCTCAGCTGCAGGGCGGGTCTGGGAGCAGCTGTCCCTCGGGGAGATGGGTGAGGCCGTCTGAATGCCAGTGATGGAGAGATAGCAAACTGTGGTGGAGGGAGAAACTGTTAACGTGCACGAGGGCACCAGCCTTCAGTGGTGCAAGAAGTTTTCAACTGTCCTTGTCTTTCAAAAGACACTGTGTCTCAACAGAGTGTCAGCAACTTCTGAAGCCATTTCAGGCTGTATTTGTTAATCACATTTTAGAATTCTGCCTGGGTGGGCTCTGCCCAGCTTCTGGTGGTGTAAATATTAGAAATGAGACTGATGTGGGTGCTGGGAGGTGAAGGAATTATGGAAAGACAACATGAAGGGAAGTTCAGGGGGGGTTCGAGGCAAGCCGCGTAGGATCTGGTTCAATTGTTCTGTCTCATACTGGGAATATGATGGCTACCATTCCTTGGAAAATGTGCATTTTCAGCATTAGTACACAGGATTTTTTTTTCCCTTGCTCTTAGAGTGTGTTGTTAAAAGTTAGTGGTAGTGATGGTTTTATTTATTTTAAAATTTTTTTAAGGTTTTTTTTTTGTTTTTGTTTTTGTTGTTTTTTTGTAGAGATGAGGTCTCCTTATGATGCCTAGGCTGGTCTTGAACTCCTGGGCTCAAGCAGTCTTCCACCTCAGCCTTCCAAAGTGCTGGAACTATAGGTGTGAGCCACTGCACCCAGCTTCATTTTTATGTGATTAATTGAAGAGTATATTCTTCCCCACTAAAAAGTGGTCATTTTCCAGACTACCTTTAAAGAAGAATGAAACACCTTCCTCTTCCAGGCAGCTAAATCTAAACATTATATTCTTTTTGAAAGCAACTCCATAGCAAAGATGTGGCAACTGCGGGCGAAGTATCTCTGAGCAGGAGATCAATGCAAAAATGCAACTGGGGAGGGGGCTCGGGGGCCAGTTCCGGGGAGGTTGGAACTGCTGTGTTCTCATCAGCAGAAGTGGCTCCTGCCCACTCCCATCCCAATCCCTTCTCATGTGGGACAGGGTCTGTAAGCACCCTCCCTACCGGGTAGGTTCTATGGCAATGTGGGCACATACCCTGGGGCTGGGGGCCGAGGGACTGACTTACTTCTTGAGTGCCAGTGTAGTAGTGAAGGGAATGCCTGATGAAAACAACATTCTACCAGTATGCGCTGCTTTCTAACCTACAAAGTGCTTCTGTGTACACTGTCCCATTTGAGAATTCTAAGTAGAATCCTGAACAGGCTGGAGCAGATCGCCCACTCCAAGGGACAGATGTTGGCTGGTACTATTGGTATTCATGGAAGATTCCTTCTGACACTCCCTCCTTTTTTGTAATTGCCATGAACTTGAGCACTGGGCCAACATAAATCATCCAAGGATGAACACGCTGCACACGGACGGCTCCCTTTGTTTGTTTTTGAAGGGATTCCATCTCTATTCTCTTGCCATGTGCTCCTTCACCCCCCTCTCCACCCCCGTCTTTCATTTCTTTCTCTCTGGAAAAGATATTTCAACTCACAGGACTGGGATGTTGAAACGGACACCCAAGAGTATCACAGATGGGCCAGGCCTGGACCTCTTGGGACAACATTCCTCACAACTTTTAGAAGAGATTAGGGATTTGGAACTGGTGGCAACTGGTAACATTTTCAGTGTTTGGTAAACAGCCAGGGTCCCGAGCTCTGGGAACAGCCTGATTTAGCTCTTTGTTTAAATTTTGGGTTAGAGGCTCCCAAGAAGCTGGTGCAGGGGAAAGAAATTAACAACCATGGCTCATTCACAGCCAGGCAGCCAAATGGACAGCTCTATAAGACTCAAGCCGACAGCGGAGAGAGCGCAATCGAACAGCCTTGGCGCAGCTTTCAGAGGAGAACGTTATTCACCCCAACTGCTCTGCATCTGCCTGGACGTCTGCCAAGATCTGTGAGCACTACAGCGTTGGTATGCTTTGGGTGAGGCCCGTGGCCATGGCAACGAGTTGGGAGCAACCCGGTCCCTGGGAATGAGAACAGTGGCTAAAATCAGGCGAGGGGTAGGGAGGAGAGGTAAAGGTTGGACTTGCCTGAAGATGGAGCCGTTTTATTGTTGTGGGTAAAGCTGCTACCGTCAGGGGTTGTTTACAGAGTGGGTGCAGCTCAAGCTGGGAGCATGTTAGACTCAGCGACTGCGATCAACCTATTGACTTGTTCCCATGAGACAGAGTAGATGAACTGCCGCAGTACTGGTCATGTACCACCAACCTCCTGTGAACCAGACCTCATTGAAACATTGATGTGAAAGGCCATGGTGTTCCCGTAAGAGGGTGCCTGTTATCTCCCTCGACTAACTCTTCAGTATGCCTCATTCTCACACACTGGTGTGCAGGAAAGAGTCCAGTACACCCCATTGACAGAGATGCTCTGTATGTGGAAAGTGTTCAAGTAGAGCACTGGGCTCGAGTTTGAAGATGTGCGTTCTAATGCCAGCAAGGCCATTACCTCCCAGTGACCTCATGTCTCGATTTCCTCAACCACAAAACAAAGGCATTGGTGAGGTGACCTCCAAGGCCCCTCCGGTTCTCACCTTCTGTGTCTCTACAGACTGGAGAGTAGAAGATGATGAGGCACTTTTATTAGTTGAGTCTTCTTCATTTTCTGTTTCCATTTCTTTGAAGTCATCAGCTGGAGTTGAGGACAAGTTTTAACAATAGATAGGTTTCTTTTCTTTTTGACTCTTTTAAAAAAAATTTTACTTAAAAAAATAAAGGCCGAGCATAGTGGCTCATACCTGTAATCCCAGCACTTTGGGAGGCCAAGGTGGGAGGATAGATTTTCAGTTTGAGACCAGCCTGGGCAACATAGTGAGACTCTGTTTGTACAAAAAATTTTAAATTAGCTAGGCATGGTGGTGTGTGCCTGTAGTCCTAGCTACTCTGGAGGCAAAGGCAGGAGGATCACTTGAACCTGGGAGGTTGACACCACAGTGAGTTACGATTGTGATACTGAACTCTAGCCTGGGCAACAGAGCAAGACCCTGTCTCTTTAAAAAAAAGACTATTTTTTAAGAACAGTTTTAGGTTCACAGCGAAATTAGGAGGAAGGTACAGAGATATGTCACATACCCCTGCCCCCATGCATGCACAGCTTCTCCCATTAACAATGTCCCCACTCAAATGGTGCCTTTGTTATAATCAATGACCCTCTACTGACACATCGTCATCATCCAAAGTCCATAGTTTACGTTAGGGTTCACTGTTGGTGGTGTACATTCCATGGGGTTGAACAAATGAATTATCCACCACTGCAGGATCATACAGAGTAGTCTCACTGCCCTAAACATCCTCCGTGCTCCACCTATTTGTCCCTCCCTGCACTCTAACTCCTGGCAACAACTGATCTTTTTACTGCCTCGATAGCTTTGCCTTCTTTGGAATGTCATATAGTTGAAATCACACATCATGAAGCCTTTTCAGATTGGCTTCATATCGTTTTCTTTTATTTCCTTCCTTCTTCCTCCCACCACCTTTCCTCCTTTCCTTTCTGTATTCCTAACTCTTGGATGTATTTTCCAGCATCATGACTTGATGGGACTTTTGCTAAGGTAGGCAATCATAAAAAGTCACAAATCTTTTGTCAGCCTTATTGCCTCACCTCTGAGATGGTCCCAACATTCTTTAAGGCTCACTTTTCCAATCCACAGATTCCCCAGCAGAAGTCCAAGCTGCTGAGCCTCACATCTTCTTTTCCGCTAGTGATCTTTCCACTACTTCACTGGAGTATTGCAGCATTTGAAAATTTTCATATGAAGCCATAGTTCTGGGTTGTTTTTTTTTTTTTCGAGACGGAGTCTTGTCCTGTTGCCCAGGCTGGAGTGCAGTGGTGCAATCTCAGCTCACTGCAAGCTCTGCCTCACGGGTTCAAGTGATTCTCTTGCCTCAGCCTCCCAAATAGCTGGGATTACAGGTGTGCCACCAGGCCCAGCTAAATTTTTTGGCATTTTTAATAGAGATAGGGTTTTACCATGTTGGCCAGGCTGGTCTGAAACTCCTGACCTCAGGTGATCCGCCCACCTCGGCCTCCCAAAGTGCTGGGATTAAAGGTGTGAGCCACTGTACCTGGCCTGAAGCCATAGTTCTTAACCTCACTTGTGCAATAGAATTTTCTGGGGAATTTAAAAATTAGAAAAAACCTACACTTGAAGATTGTGATCTAATTGGTCTTGCGTAGGGTCTGGGCACTGGTGTTTTTTAAATGTTTCCCAAGTGATGCTAAAGTAGCCATTCTGCAAGCCACAGTTGAAAGGCTTATTCAAGCATCCTGTTGCTGAATGCATGTCATCCTTACCATTTGACTCTGGAGGTTGTTTTCTTGTCTTCTGATGTGGCTGCCCTGCTGAGGCGTGCCCCTTAGTTTGGAGATT